TAAGCAAAACACAGGGACCACGGTTCAATCCCCCAGCACCACATGCCAGCCAGCCCCGCCCCCTGGTGGGCTGAGCTGGCCACACACACACACAAAATAAATAAATAAATAAATAAACATTAAAAAAAAAATAAAATAAAATTTTGGGACAGTCTCAATAAGTCATGAAGTTCTCCAGGGTGGGCTCTAGCTTGTGATCCTCCTGCCTCAGCCTCTTATAGTGCTAGGAGTATAAATACAAACTACCACACCTGACTGAAATTATCATAGCACTTTTATACTTCGTTGTGACTGTTGTGTAAGGATTTGCCTAACCCATAACCCACTTAAATCTAGACTGTCATCATGCCACCCCTGAGTACCTTTGGACATTTTTCACTGAGCTCCAGGAAATACCACCAGGGCACATCAGCACTGACATTCGCCCATGCCCTTGAGAAGCCATTTAGAAACAAGTACCAGGAGGGAGGGAGGGTCATTTCTGACTCCTGTAGCTGGAGTGATATGAGGGTACATGAACCTCTGAGCAAGCAGTCACAGCAAAAGAATAGTCAAAGCACCAAGTGTCACCACTGGCAGCATTTGTCAAGGCCCTGCCTGCTTCAACTGCGTTTAACTGCGTGAAGGCTTTCTCACATTAATCTCAACAAGACTCAGCTCATTAACAGGAAAGTACTGGGATGTACTACGCAAAGACATTCTAAGGAGCTTCAACTTTCCAAACACAAGCACGAAACACTGCCAGCAGGAATAAACATTCGTACAAGAGGTTACTCAAGCTTATGCCTCTTGAGGTTTAAAAATGATTGTGTGTAGCCAAAGAAAAACACACTTGGCTGGGAAGCTGGAGCTGGGGTACAGTTCCACTTTTTGGCCTGCACGTCCTGCATCTTGAGTTGGCCACTTCTTTGTACCTCAGTTTCCTGACCTCTAATGTCAGTAGGGGATTCAACAACTTTTGAAGTTGTTGCTTCCTGATTTACCACCTACAGTCCTGCTAGTGTTTGTTTTGTAAGTTATCCATGTGCATACCTCTGCTCAACAAGATACTACAGGAACGTGGCTTTCTGTCAAGGTTTCATACCGTATTCCTATCACGTTGGTTACTTTGTCCACAAATATCACAATTGCACACACTCACGAAGACAGCCATAATTACTGCAACTGCTATTACGTGCATAAATGCTTATTACAAACCTGCATCATGCTTAGCACTTAACATACATTAACTCTATTCTTGCTTACCACAATCCTAGGATACCACTTTTAGTTCCATGTTTTAAACTGAAGAAACTACAGTGACCTGCCCAAGCTCATTAACCAGGCTATGGGTGGAAAGGCTACTGTTTGTTACACATACCTGGAGGTCAATGGAGAGCAAAATACATCAGACTCCATCTGCAAAATGTCAGGATCCCCACAACTCAACTTATACTTGTGAATTCTCTCTGCAACATGATTTACAAACCCTACACAGGCACTTGTGGCTATTTCTTCCTGCCACACTTCAGTTTCATGAGAAAACATTAACACTGTTGGAAAAGGGATTAAACTAAAGCTACCTTCCTTCTCAGTCATTTAGGAAATGAACACAGAACAGGAACTGTGGGACCACTGGTGACTTCCAAGTCCAGAGCTAAGGAGGCAGCGCTCTGTTACAACAAGGTTCCTAGCCACAGCCCAGAGGCCCTGAGTGTCAAGCCATGTGCTCCAAAACCTAGCAGCTGCATAAAAGCAGTGACCAGCCAGGCGTGGAACAGCAGTTACTCAGCCTCAAAACTGTAAGACTAATGGAGCCTAAAAGTCTGTGACCACAAAGTGACAACAACAAAAAAACAAAACTATGCATCAAGGGCATAGTTATTATAGCTCAGTGGCACAATGCCTGCCTAGCAAGCACAAGGTCCTGAGTTCGATTCCTAGCACAAAAAGAAAAAAAGACAGCTACACTGGCTTGAAAAGAAAAACCATGTATCAAATACACTGGAGGGAGCAATTTACCTGCACAGAGGAGTGGGCAATCTAGAAAAAAAGACTAGTAATCAAAAAAGTCCTGCTTATGTAGCAGTCTGCCTTTACCTATGAATTTCCCCAATTCATAAACCAACTCAAATCTCGAGACTTCCCCCGCAATAGGCTCTGGGTTTCCGTGGGCCAAAGCCAGGGAAGGGAGAAGAGAGGTCTGAGGTCTGAGTCCCGGACCCGAACAGGGAGCTCCCGGCTCCCTGGCAAAGCGGAAAGGAAACTGCTTCAGGGAAGAGGAGCCTGTCAGCGGCTCCGCAAGGACAAAGCCACCCGTGGGCTCCCACCTCGCGGGGACCTCGCGCCCAGGCCACAGCCTGCACCCTCCCGCTCTTCCAGGCTCAGCTCTGACAGCCGAGGGGCCGAGCGCGGGACGGCGGTGAGAAAAGAGGGCCAGCGGCAGCGGTGTGATCTCCCCTGCAGGGAAAACAAACACGCATTTTAATCAAACCAAGCCCGGGAGAAGCGGGCGAAGACGTCCTCGCCCGGCCTGGCTCCGGGCTTCTGAATCACTTCCTCTTTTCTCAAGTGTCTCTGAGCCTGAGACCAAGCAGAAAGTGCCGCCTCCCGCGGCTTCCAGCGCACACACCTAGGGCTGGCCGCGCTTACCCCAGCGTGCTGATGAAGCCGTTGACCGAGCCCTCGGCGTACAGGGACACGATGTCCCCGATGTAGAGGAAACTGGACATTTTCTCGGACATGCTGCTGCTGCTGCCGCTGCTGCCGCCGCCGCCTCGCGCCCCGAGGGGACGTCCCTCCTCCTCCTCCTCCTGGCGCGCTCGCCGCGGCCCCCGCCCGGACGCCGACGAGGTCGGGGCTCGGCGAGGATATCGGGGCGCAGCCCGCTTCCGCGCGGGGGAGCTGGCTCAGGACGCCCCGCAGCCGCCCCGCCGCCTCCCCGCGGGTTTCCTGTTCCTTCCGAAGTTTTCTCCGAGACACCTCGGCCCCTCCTCCGCCGCTCCCAGGGCGCCCCCTCCCCGCCGCGCCGACCCGCCGCCCTCTGCAGTAACGGAGCCCCGCGGTCCCCGCGCAGAGTTTGGGGTCCAGGTGGCTGTGCCCATCCGGAGGGAGGAGAGGCGCCGGCAGGGCGGCGGCCAATCCCGCTGCGGCGGCCGGGGGCGGGACGGGGAGGGGCGGGGCCATAGATGGGGCGTGGTCAGGGGCGGGGCCAGCGAGGACCCAGGTCCGAGAGGGGGCGGGGCCGTGCTTGCTGCCAAGGCTCCGAGCCTAGGTGGCCGGGAGATGAGAGCTGGGCTGCAGAGGGAGCAAGCGGAGGGGACCTGAGGACCGGGAGGGAGGGAGCCAGCGCGTCTCCCGGACACGGAAAGGGGGACCCGGGGTGCGAGAGTTGGGGGTGGGTAATTTGCCGACCAAGGGGAAGGAAAGGGTGGAAGTAAAGGCAAGTCTACAATTTTTTTAAAAAACGCCTAATAATGTAAAAGAAAGGAAAGGAAGGAGGGAATAAGGGAAAGAGGAGGATTTCGCGGTGTGGAGCGTGCAGCTTTGTTCAGTTTCCTTTCCTTTTTCTCAGCTGTCTGGCGTTCGTGCAGCCTCGCCTGTCGGCACCTGTCCAGGTGTGTGCGAGCCTCCCGAGGTCAGTGTCACTTGGCGGAGCCAGCAGTTTTGCGGCCAACCGCTGGCGGCGAGGGCTGGGCAGAGCTGCGCCTCGCTAAACCTCCGAGGCCGCGCCCCCCGCGCTTCCTTCGCTCCGAGGTTCACCGAACTCCTGCAGGAGTTCGCCGGCTCTGCCTCACCCCGCCCTGCCTCGAAACGCAACGCCGCCGATGGCTCTGAGAGCCCGGTGATCTTAAGGGACACTCGAGCCGGACGCTTGCACGCCTTCCCTTCTCTTGTGCGTGGTAAGAGCCGCCTGCCCTGCTTCTCTGGGACAAGCAAACTGTGTGTGCGTCCTGACACACTGGCCATTCAATCTCAAAAGTGCTACCTAAGCAGTCCCGGTAGCGCAAGGTCTGCAGAAGGGACCTCTGGGCGTACAGAAGGTTGTGTGCTGAATTGTGCAACTGACCACCTTGCGACTTGCGATTGCGATGTCACACAGGTCTTACCATCCCGAGTTGGTTTTGGTTTCATTTTATAATCACATAATAGTATATATACAAGGAAAACAAGCTTAGTATTTGAATGTCGGTATTTAGAAAGCCTTCAGGATAGAGAACGGATAGCAACGGTGGGAATCCCAGTGCAAAGGCTGTGTGCCCTGACCCAAGCTGGAGAGGGAGTCTTAACTGACTGAGTTCTCCCCTGGAAAGGGTTACTTAGTGACTTAGAGATACCTGATAGAGGAAAGGCGTGCTCCCCTTTCCATACTGTTACTGTTGAAAATCTTCAAGAGGCTTGCCATGAGTTTTTGTTTTGTTTTTAAATAACCTGAGAAGAAACAAGATGAAAACCCTGAAATGGAAGATTGTGCTTATCCAAGGGATTCGGGCTTTACATCTTGTGTTTCAGCACACTGCACAGGCCTGTGCCATATGGCCACTGGAGGCTTGACGATTATTGCTCAGCATCAAGAATGTCCTTGGAGGAAAAAAAAAAAGTCCTTGAGGTCCTCAAAGGATCTGGGGATATCGCTTAATAAAATAAGCACCTGGGCAAGCTAAAGAACAGGTCAGGTGTCAAGCCATGTGCCCAGTTCTGACTTATAGTGGTCATGTTCCTTTGTTTCAAACTAGGTCACCTAAAACTCAAAGCCATGCACGTGGCATGAGGGCACATCACTTCTAAGCTCCTTGCAACACTTTCCACCTCGTCACCTTGTTACCTTTACATCTCAAGACCTACCAAACTAGAAGCATCCTATGAATGAAGCTGGCACCTAATTCGTCCCTCATAAGGCCAAGGAGTGTTCATTTAGAGTTTCAATGAATACTTGATGGATACATGACATAACTAATGTACATGTTTAGTGTTTAAATGTTCTATAACCACTAACATTAACACCTGTATATGTTGTGAACACTGGTTGAACCAAAAAGCACTCAGTCTCCTATGCCGAGACTATGAGAAACTTCAGCAAAATTCCCAGTTACCATGCCCTAAAATAGCTAACATAGAGAAGTAATAAATAGAGCAGGATATAATATTTGAAATGTTTACTCTCAAAGGAATGAATATATTAAGAATGCATTTCCAGAAAGGAATCCTCCTACTGGCGGTATTTTCAGGGTAAGTTCTGTTCGATGTCCCTTGGATAGCCTCAGATCAATACTAGAAGTGAAAAGGTTCACCAGCTATTATGTCAACTGGCTCTTTCAGGAATTGCTTTCTTCTCTTCCTTCCCTTGCAGTGAATATAATTTTTACAATGTGATTGGTTTATTAAGTAGCCTGCTTCAGAAGATTCAAATAAGGGGGCCTGCTGGGTAGCTCAGTTGCTTAAGCGCCTGCTCATGCAAACGCAGTCAGGCGCAGGATACCACAGTTCAGTCCCCAGCTCCACATGCCTTACCAGACATGCCCTTAAGGCAGCCTGAGCCAGCCAATAATAATAATAACAATAACAATAATAATAAGTACAAATAAAATATGAGGGTTTTTTTAATTGCTCCCTTTCAGGAATGCTATAACAAATTTTCATTTCCAAACTGAGTTCCTCTGTACCTTTCTGCAGTTGTTCCTTTATTTCAGAAGCCGTCGATTCATTGATTTCAGCTGTGTGATTCCCAATTTGTTCTGTTAGTGTCCTCTGCACTTGTTATGGGTGGGCTTGGGTTCTGAGATTGCATTTTGCTTCTTCTCATTGTCATTTTGTGTAGCACCATCTTCTGACCTTTGTTGTAGAGCTTTGTTGCAGTTATAACCTCAGCACCTACTGAAGTTCAGGTGCAGATCTACAAAGGTTGGATTTATCCAGTTGTGCCTGGCTTGGGTCTGGATGCTATACTCAGCTCCTTCCTGCTGCTGCCCCTGGGGGTGAACCTGTTGTGCCCCTCTGGCAAGATGTTCTGCTCCTGGACTAGCTGGGTGGTTCTGTCCCCTACACTCTCTGCAGGGATTGCAGCTGCAGGGTTTCACCCCAGGCCTGTATGCCAGGCCTGAGCTGAGTCTGGAGGGGACAAAGTGGAGTAAGGGGGAGAGGCAGCTTTCCCACACACTCACCAGGCCTGGGCTCACTCACTGGATCTGGGGGTTCCCAGAACGCAGCAGAAATTCCTACTCGGTGGGCGGGGTGGGGGGTTGCTACGGAGTGGTAGGGAGCATCCCAAGGGGGTGGAAGAGGGTGTCATTCACACTGAGCCTGGGCTGGGACCGGTAGCCAGAAGCTCTCCCACACACTCACTGGGCCTGGGCTAGGACTGGATCAGTAAATTTATATATTTTGTCCCTTAATACTATTTGAAGAAGAACCCTTGGATTTAGAGTATTTTTATTTATAAAAAATTAACACCCAGGGCCAGGGAGATAGCCTGGTGGTCTAAGCACCTGCCTGGAAAGTGCGAGGACCTGGGTTCCATCCCCGGTACCACAGGCTGCGCCAGCCCAGTGAGAGCCAGCCACCAAACTGGGTGTGGTGGCACATGTCTGTAATCCCAGCACTGGGATTACTGGTTGAGACTGGAGGATCACTATGAGTCTGAGCCACATAGTGAGACCCTGTACCAAATAAACAAATAAATAAGATTTTTAAAAAATTCACACCCAGACACATGCTCACAAATACACACACACACACACACACACACACACACACACACAGAGTCTATTCAAGTTGAAAACATTGGTGTCCTCTCCTTCAGGCCTTTTCAAAGCAATGACTCAGCTAAATGGAAAGGGTGTGGCATGCTCCTTCGCTGCTGTCTCTGGGTCTTCCCATGTTAGCCCCCTTCAGTGTTTGGACGGGGAAGTGATATCAGAATGAAAAGAATAAACATACTATTCTGAACTGTGGGTATGATTTCAGCCCTCTCTAGCCTATCACCACTCACTGGGCTAAAGCCAGTTGGCTGCTCAGGGCTTCTTATCATGTGGGTATCAAACATTGGCTTTCTGCTGGGACTTGGGTGAAGTTTCTATGGGTTCTGAGGGAGCTCTGGAGTGTACAGTCCCTTCAACCCCCAGCCAGACCTCAAGGTCTCTGGGTTCCACCCCTGAGACTCTCCCCCCCACCACAGGGAGAGCACCCTCTTGGGTGAAGTTCTGGTGACCCTGGCCTGCGTTAGACTATGAGCAATTCAGGCTGTCTTCTTCATGGTAATGCCACCTGGGAACGGGGTCCATGCCTAGAAGTTCCTCATGCTGGACTTGATGTTGTCTTGGCGCCATCTTGAAATTCTCAATCATTTCTGAAAAACAGCTCCCATATTTTCATTTTCATTGCAGGCTACAAATTACATAGCCAGTCCTGGATTCAGACCTTCTTACCACACTAAATAAAATACTGTTTCTCGGCCTTTTGGCTAAGATCAAGTGAAAATACAAACTGCTCTACTGATGCCCCTCACTCTGTGGCTCTCTCTTGTGCACCAGTTCCTCTTTCCCACGTCATCTACTCAACAATCTGACTGACCAATCTGATTTGCTCAGTCAGTTGCTTCCACTCAGGAAATTCAAAGCCAGGCTCTTCCTCTTGCAGATACTACTCTGCAGGTTTTTCTCAAACTATCCTCTATAGAGACAAGGGATTGGGACTGTCACTTTTCACCATTCCTTACTGGAAACTTCTCACCAACCAGGGCTGGCCAACTCAGTGGGCAACCAGGTTGAAAATGGAAAATCAGCTCAATGGTAGATCACTTCCCTGGCATGTAGGAGGCTCTGGTTTCAAGTCCTGGTACAAAGGCAAAGAACTCTACAAACTCATCATGACCAATTCGCATTTGCCATGATGACTTCTGTGGATTCATCCTCTAAATATATTTGTCATTTCTCCTTCCTGTGAAGCTTTGTACTAAAAATGTGTCCTTAAGCTTCTGAGTCCAAGCTCAAAGGAAAAGGTGAGCTACACAGGGGAAAGAATGATAGTCCTTAGCACCCTATTAGTAGACCATGAGGCCACCACAGCTCTATTTCTCACCTGTCCCCTGCTGTGCCACATGACCCCCAAATTCCAAGAGCCTTCAGATGGGGCTTCTCTAGGTTCAGTATACAAAAGATCCCTCACAAATCCTAGGCCCCATCCCCTGAGATTCAGCAGTTCTGGGGGTGGGTGGGGCCTGCCATCATTCCTCAAGGGAATAGCTATATGTGGATGGGGATTGAGGGAGTGAGGGGTTCAGATAAACGTCAGTCACTGGCAAGGACTTGCTGAGCAAATGACTTGCTTTCAACTTTTATTTTGAAATAATCTCAAGTTTACAAAAAAAGAGGACAAAATTAGCACATAAGAACAGATTCAGCAATTTCTATAATTTGCTAAATATATTTATAGCTACCTTTATATTCACAGCTTATTTACACGACCAGTTAAGTGTAAATAGCATACGTTGTGCCCCCTCACCTTTTAATAGCTCATGTATCCAGTACCTAAGAGCAAGAAGAGTCTGTTTTACAGCCAAAGTACAGCTATTAAAATTAGGAAATTCAAGGGCCAGCGAGTTAGCTCAGCGGACTAATCGCCTGCTGAGGCAAGTGCAGGGACCAGGGCTTGTTCCCCAGCACCATACGCTGTGCCGGCCCCACCCCTGGGCACACTGAGCAGGCCACCAAATCGGGCGTGATGGCATACACCTATAATCCCAGTGCTAGGGAGGCTGAAAACAGAAGGATCACTATGAGTCTGAGCTGCATAGTAAGACCCTGCACAAAATAGAAAATTAGGAATTTCAACAATGATTTTTAAAAGAAAACCTTCTGTAAACTGCTCTATGTATTCTAATATTAGTTGTCTCAATACTGTCTCTTCAAGCATCTTTTTCCCCTCCAGGTCAGAGTCCTGTCCAGATCACATTTGGCATTCTTGTCACATCTCTCTAGTGTCTTTTAATCTACAACTGTTCCTCACTGAACTTTGTCTTCAGTCGCGGTGCCATTTGTAAAGAATATGGGCTCTTTATTCATTTTTTAAAAAATATATTTAGTACGGGGCCTACAGGATCTCACTACATAGATCAGACTCATAATGATTCTCCTATTTTCAGTCTCCCAAACGCTGGGATTACAGGCATGCGCTACCATGCCAGTCTCAGTCGCCATCTCAGCATGCCCCATGGGTGGGGCCAGCATGGTGTACCAGGGATCGAACCCCAACCGCTGCACTCTGCCTAAGCAGGTGCTTTAGTCCACTGAGCTATCTGGCCGGCCCCAGGCAGTTTATTTATGAGCAGTCCCTCAACTAGATTGGTCTTGCATTTCTTCAAAATTGGATTAGAGATGAAGAATTCCCTGCCAGATGCTAGATAAGAGATGACAAGAGATGGTGCTCATCACAGGGTACCTCAACCTCAAGGACATGGTGTCCATACCAATCGTATCAGTTTTGATCACTGTCACAACATTGTCTGGTACACAAGAATTTCAGGATGATCCCAATCCAGATCTTCTTCAATGATGTGGCCCCTATCTAACCTGAGAAAACTCCAGGAATGAATCCCAGTCTCAAGACAGCAGCAAGTCTGATCCTTCTGCTACAAATGCTGTCCAACCAATCTCTTCACCCTTCGTGTCTCTGTTTCCAAAGCCAGAGTTTGACTCCGATCTGCTCTTCTTGGTGCTGGGGCTGGACGGAACTCAACGTGGCCACAACTCATTCCAAACACTCATGTCTCTAACAAACAATGTGATGTTTTATGTCCTAAAAAAAGGATTTTGTTTTTCTGGTACTAGGAAGTAAAGCAAGAGCCTTTGAATTTGGCTATATCACAGGCTTTTTTTTTTTTTTTTTTAGACAGAGTCTCACTAAGTTGCTTAACTGCCAAGGCTGGGCTCAAACTTGCCATCCTCCTGTCCAAGCCTCCCAGAGTGCAAGGATTATACATGCCCAGCTTGTTTTGGTTTATGTTCAAACATAACATAAAGGGTCTCACTCTGTTGCCCAGGCTGGTTTAAACGCTTGTGTGCAAGAGATCCACCTGTCTCAACTGCTGAGTCAGGAGGACTGCAGGGAACCATGACTCCAGGGAACTACACTGAACTTGGGAAAAGGACTTGCAAGCATTGTATCCTTGGTATCCAAACATTTCCTTTCTAAACCTGTATCTTGGCCTTACTTTACCCTTATTCTTTCGCTGTACCTCCCAATTTAAATTCCTACTAAAGTATTATTCCAATCTCCTTCATAAGGTCTTTTTGTTTTGTTTTGTTTTTTGTGGAACCAGGGATTGAACTCAGGCCCTTGTGCTTGCCAGGGAAGCGCATATTCCACTAAGCCATCTCCCCGGCCCTCCTTTATAAGGTATTAAAAAACACTCACACCACTCGCTGCTGAGTCACTCGTGATTCTCCCTGACCCAGGCATCACAGTTGATGGGGGCCTATGAGTGACAAAAAGGG